GAATTCTAAGAAAACAAACTGTAATTTTCAACAACTAATCACACTTCAAAGCATTAACAACAAATTCTAATTCTAAGAAAACACATTTTCTTACTTGAATATACATTCGAACTTCCAAATATCAATGCAAATATTCAGTAAATGCGAAACCGAAAGTTGTAAAATTTTACCAAACAAGATCAACGACATCAAACAACTTTATTACTTCAACAATTATAAAATATTCTATTCAAACAAATTTTCAACAAAACTATTTACTCACCCCACCATTATGATATTTCCCGGCCAATGCACCACATATTACGAAGCGATTAACGATACTAATGCGTAGTTCGAAAGGCAAGTATAAATAACACTTGATGATTCTTGTTCGAACGCTATTTTGTTCCAACGAGTTTGCATCAGTCTAATTTTGATCTTGATTTGGTATACAAAAATACATGACGATATCTTTCGTTTATATTTAATGAAAACACCAAAATATATCACAGTAATACAGACACATCGCAACGGCGAACTTACAGTTACATAATGTAAACACACAGAATTCTTTTGGCGCAACAGCGCCCTCTATACTATGAAAAGTTCGAACAATCACAGAGGGAAAGTTTATAAAATATATAATTTGCTCTGAAGGTTCTCATTCTTTTTTGGCTTGCTGGAGGCTTATTTAATGCATACTATTGCTGGGATACTATTTTATACTTATTTCGCCACTTCATTTTTGTTTTATAACACAGGTAAAAAATTTCATAGCTCAGCAATGGGTTGTAGCACACCCATTGAAAACAGCTTCACTGGAAAACCCTATAGTAATGCTTAAAAAAAATACCCCCAAAGAAGGCCTCTTTCTTTTTTCTTTTTTTTACCGTTTTGTGTGCTACCTTTATTTATTATGTAAGGTATTTCTCCCGCCTTCCTAGCGTGCTTTCGTGGTGTAGTAGTCAGCACACTGAGCTGGTATTTCAGAGGTCCGTGCTTCGATTCCCAGCAAAGGCATTACTAATTTTTCATCTCTTCTGCTTCCAAAAATCCAATGTCTCTACAATTAAATATCATGTTCTTTGCACTGAAATTTTAGCTTATAGAAAATCTATGTAATTATTTTGTAACTAACTGTAAAATACCAGGATGATAGTATTATCCTTACTATGTTTAATAGGAGAACATACTTTGTGATAACATGAAAACTTTTTAAATCTTCACCATTTGCTCAGAGACAGACTTTTCCTTCCCTGTAAAATGTGTCTTCTCCCATTAACAATGGCAGATACTCATTGGGGTTAAATGTAGCCTGGGACATTATCCCTGAAATAGATTTTTTGCTTTGTGTTTTTTCAATCCACCAGAATGAGTCAAAAATGAAAAGAGCTGACTGGTGGCTTAATAGTCATGCTGCCCCTACAATGGGGATTGTATCAGAGATAATTTCACTCACAAAGACGGGAAATAGAAATGCAATTCTGACTTTCCTTTAGCTTGTATAGCAGTGGAACTACCTTTCATTTAACAGCATGTTTTTAGGGGATATTCTGTTAATTTTCAGGTGAAAGACTAATGAACACAAGAAATTGTTCTACTGGGTAGGAAGATGAATAGGCAATTTTCTAAGTAGGTCTTGACAACTAGTGAAAGAGAGGGTAGAAGTATGTCTAAGCCAGTTTCAAGTGCTGGGAGAAGAAATAATTTCTTGAGTTTTGTAGGTTAGTGAAGTGGTAAAGTTCTATCAACAGAAAACTAAAGCTTCTACCTTTTTGGGTAGCAATTAAGCAATGGAATGTTGTTCAACACAGACACAAGTTTTCGCCATGTAGGAAGGTAGTAAATAAGAATGGGTTCTTAATAAAATCTGGAGCTGAAATTAAATTTATTGCATATCATTAGAAATGTATAATTAATACACATTATTATATTTAAATGATTGATTGTTTTCTGCTTATAATGTTGCTTGCTTCTTGAAGAGAATCTCTCATTCTCCCTCAAAATGCTTTGAGTTTTCTATGAAACCAAAATAAGCAGAATATTGAATTTTGCCTTATTTTTGATTCTGATGTTTGTAATTGTATCACCGTATTTTTTTAGCAAGCAGTTTTCAAATTAGTGCTATTTCAGTCTTATATTTTAAGGATAACGTCTTGATATTTCTTATCTGTTATTAAATTTCCATTTACGTATAATTATTTTAGTTTATGAATAAATGAAATTTAGCAATGCTGAATTGAATTAAAATGTATAAATTTTAATTCATGAACCAACAAAATGTGTTACTTAAAAGTGTATAAATAATAATAAATTGGATAATAATAATGAAATAATGTGCAGTAAATATTAAGCTTGGAAAGAGTTTCATAATTATTGTGCTTTTATGTTAATGTATAAATATTTTAACAATTATTTTCTTATATAATTTTACTTTAAAAAATCAAAATTTCTGTTTTTTTTTAATAAGTCTGTTTTTATAAGTAACCTTTACTTTGTGTATATATTTTTCTTATGTAAGCTGTATTATGTATGTAATTTTCAAAGAAAAATTGTTAATAAAACTAAGATTTTAAAATTATATTAAATTTAATTTCTTAACAATAATCTGAATGTTTTTAGCAATTAAGTTTATATATACATATCACTCCTCCTCTGCATAAGTATAATGTTCCTATAACCCATTTTGTAAGCACTGTGGCATAAAATAAAATCAAGAGCAATTGGCATTCATTTATATGGAAAAATATTTTGTGTGTTTTGAGGCCTTTCCAAAATGCTATCAAATCATTTCAAATAACAAGTAAACCTAAAACTGACACCAAAAACAATAATGGTGAGATAAATACACAGACAAAATAAATAAAAATAATATATGTAATTTAATTTCATCTTTCAAAATGAAAAAACTTATAATAAGAATAATGTGTGGCTAATAGTGATGGTAATAATAGTGGTACATTGAATTATCAAATATTCAGTAGTAAGAGGTGCAAAGTATTAGACAGAGAACTTTTTATTGTTTTATTATTATTATTATTATTATTATTATTATTATTATTATTGAGTTCACTAGTTTATCTATTTGACTGCTCACAGTGTCAAAAATTTAAGGTTTCTCATTTACTTCATCTGGTGTGACAGCTTAAATATGATAATATCCTTAACAGACTCTTTCATGATTAGACTTGTACTTTTTTCATTCATTGCATAAATAAATGTTGAATGCCTTTTTCTTTCATAAAAGGAAAAGGTTTTTCTCATGAATTGAAAAGGTACTGATGGATGATTTTTATAAAATAGAGAACACATGTATGCACTAATGTTGGAAAAAAAAAACACTTAAACAAGTGCTTTTATATAAAAAAGGGGGGGTAGCAGATTTCCCATGAATTATATTTTATAAAAGTTTAATGTATAATGTAATGTTTTCTGCTTATAATGTTGCTTGCTTCTTGAAGAGAATCTCTCATTCTCCCTCAAAATGCTTTGAGTTTTCTATGAAACCAAAATAAGCAGAATATTGAATTTTGCCTTATTTTTGATTCTGATGTTTGTAATTGTATCACCGTATTTTTTTAACAAGCAGTTTTCAAATTAGTGCTATTTCAGTCTTATATTTTAAGGATAACGTCTTGATATTTCTTATCTGTTATTAAATTTCCATTTACGTATAATTATTTTAGTTTATGAATAAATGAAATTTAGCAATGCTGAATTGAATTAAAATGTATAAACTTTAATTCATGAACCAACAAAATGTGTTACTTAAAAGTGTATAAATAATAATAAATTGGATAATAATAATGAAATAATGTGCAGTAAATATTAAGCTTGGAAAGAGTTTCATAATTATTGTGCTTTTATATTAATGTATAAATATTTTAACACAATTATTTTCTTATATAATTTTACTTTAAAAAATCAAAAATTTCTGTTTTTTTAATAAGTCTGTTTTTATAAGTAACCTTTACTTTGTGTATATATTTTCTTATGTAAGCTGTATTATTATGTATGTAATTTTCAAAGAAAAATTGTTAATAAAACTAAGATTTTAAAATTATATTAAATTTAATTTCTTAACAATAATCTGAATGTTTTTAGCAATTAAGTTTATATATACATATCACTCCTCCTCTGCATAAGTATAATGTTCCTATAACCCATTTTGTAAGCACTGTGGCATAAAATCAAGAGCAATTGGCATTCATTTATATGGAAAAATATTTTGTGTGTTTTGAGGCCTTTCCAAAATGCTATCAAATCATTTCAAATAACAAGTAAACCTAAAACTGACACCAAAAACAATAATGGTGAGATAAATACACAGACAAAATAAATAAAAATAATATATGTAATTTAATTTCATCTTTCAAAATGAAAAAACTTATAATAAGAATAATGTGTGGCTAACAGTGATGGTAATAATAGTGGTACATTGATGAATATCAAATATTCAGTAGTAAGAGTGCAAAGTATTAGACAGAGAACTTTTTATTGTTTTATTATTATTATTATTATTATTATTATTATTGAGTTCACTAGTTTATCTATTTGACTGCTCACAGTGTCAAAAATTTTAAGGTTTCTCATTTACTTCATCTGGTGTGACAGCTTAAATATGATAATATCCTTAACAGACTCTTTCATGATTAGACTTGTACTTTTTTCATTCATTGCATAAATAAATGTTGAATGCCTTTTTCTTTCATAAAAGGAAAAGGTTTTTCTCATGAATTGAAAAGGTACTGATGGATGATTTTTATAAAATAGAGAACACATGTATGCACTAATGTTGGAAAAAAAAACACTTAAACAAGTGCTTTTATAAAAAAAGGGGGGGTAGCAGATTTCCCATGAATTATATTTTATAAAAGTTTAATGTATAATGTAATGTTTTTATGTACATACACATATGTGTAACTTTTTTATGTGAAGTAGAGTTTAAAAGTGTTGCTGAATATTGTTTCTAGTTTATGCATGAAATATTTTATGAAAAAAAGAAATTTTTATTTTTTTAGCCCTTTTTGCTTTTCATTATTGGCTGACAAGAAATCAAAGGATGTTTCTGTTCACGTCAGCAGCTGCTGTCATTGTCTTCCGTGCTGAATTATCAATTCTTCTAGGTCTTATAGCATTAGGAGAAATAATATCTGGCCGTTTAAATATTTTATCTGTTATATGCTGGGGTTTACCATCTGGATTTTGGATGTTAGGTAATAGATATTTTACTAGATCTGTTTCTTGCAATTATAATTATAAAAAGTAAATATTTTATATTCAGCTAATTTATGCATTTATAAAAAATGTGGATTTTTTCATGTATATCTATCTGGTTGTAGTGAAAGTTTTCTGCCAAAAAATATTCTTAATATAAAGTTAGGAAAAAAATGAAAGCAGTACCTTTAGTGCAGGTAGTAATCTCCATCCAAATCTATGATTTTCTGCCGACGGTTTGGTAGTTTTTCAAAGCTTTTGGCCCTGAAACTTGGTGGCTGCGAGTCCAAAAACAGATCAACCTCATTTCTGGCATCCTTGCAGAATGGAAGACAGCACCAGCAAGATGCAGCTGCAGGTGTGAAAAAAGATTAGATGTCCGAAGGAGCTATGTTGGGGCTGTATGGTGGGTGTGGTAAACAATCCCGTTCGTGTCCATTTCAGGGTCTAGCCTGTGAATGCAGACACATGTGGTCTTGCATTATCTTGATGGAACATTACCTTTTTGCGGCAGAACTCAGTTTGACATTTTCTCTTAAAAGCAGTGTCAACACGAACCAGCTTCTCCCTGTACACCTGACTGTTGAGGGTTTAACCTTTTTCCAGGTACTCTTTGTGGATAATGCCACAGCAGTCCCAACAAATACAAAGCATGATCTTTTTGTTAGTCAAATTGCACTTTTCGATGCTGCCGAAGGACTTGCTGGCACAACTCAACCCCCTTTTCAACCTTTGTTGATGAAGTAAATTCATTTTTCATCACAAAAAACAATCCAGTCCAGAATTTTCTCCTTGCATTGATATTCGAGCAGATTAGTGCAGGCCCAAACATATCTGTCCTTATCTGCGTGAGTCAACTCATGCAGCACCCAGCATTTAAACTTGTACGTCAAGTTTATGTGATGCATAGTGCGATAAATGGACATGGCACTAATGACTAACTCCTTAGCAAGCTTTTGAATAGTTGCATACTGACCTTCTTCCACAATTTCTTGCTAGCAGGCCTCATCAACATCAGAAGGCCGGCCCGACTGTTTTGCTTCTTGAATGTCATAGCCCTTGTTTTCGAACTTTTAGTAACAAACCTTCATAGTGTCATATGATATATCATTAGTAGCTAAAGCTGTGCACATGGTTTGGTGATATTCTATTGCTGATATTTTGCAACAGTACTTGAAGTAAATGATATTTCTAATCTGGTAGCATGACAATTTCAGACACCTTGTACTTAATAATAACAATATTTTTTTATAAGTTTCACAACACAGTATTCTAAAGCAAGTCTCTTTCTTTCCAATGATAAAATATGATCAAACATGCCAAGGCGAACTGTTTGTACAGATGATTTTTGTGGTGGCAGAAAATTTTTGTTTAAACCCAATATTTCTTCCTCTTGTTATGAGAATCCGAAATTAATTTTAAGAAAGTAAACAAAATTTTATCTTGCATTCTGTCTTGCTGATTTAAGCAGTACTTTATTTATTTTGTTATGCATTAATTTTAATAGATTTAATTGTTTTATTTATTTTTAATTATAGGTTTAACTGTTTGCATAGATTCATATTTTTGGGTTCGTCCAGTTTGGCCAGAAGGAGAAGTTCTGTGGTTCAATGTTTTTTTGAATAAGAGCTCTGAGTGGGGAGTATCCTTTAATAATTTTATTTAGTTATTATACTTTTGCTTTTAAGGCTTGAATAGGTGTTTTTCTTACTGTAGTAAATATAAGAAGTTTTAAAAGCATATATAATATTAATATATAATTTATTTACTAAAGAAATATTGATTATATTATCTCCTAATATAATATATATATATATATTTAAAGCATATATATTCTATTATGTTCTAAAAGCATATATATTTTAAAAGCATGTATATATTCTGCAAATATTCTGAGAAAGATTTCATTTTCATTAGGCAGAATATGCATCCACTTTTCCTTTCCTCTCTGTTGTGTTCCTTTCCCCCCCCCACTCTGTAGTAGCTCATGTCTGCAATAAAATTGCTATGCCATAAAGGATAGCACTTTTCAGAATAATGTTTGTTTTACAAATATGTTATAATGAAAGCATAACTAAGTAAAATGTCAGGTAATTTTTAATGATAAATGATGCAAAAATGGGTACCCTGATCACAGAACTGTGGCAACAGTAGTTGTTACGTAACCTAGCATCAGGTTACAGGCATTGAATGTCAAGCATCTTCAGCTGTTTGCCAAGATATCTGTCTTACTAGTTGGTAGGTGCTGTTGTGTCAGTCTCTTTACAACAGTTGATCAGACATTTTCAGTTGGTGAGAAATCTGGAGAACTTACTGGCAAGAGCAGAAGTTTAACATCCTTTTTATTTAGGAAGTGTAGGGCAGTGAGTGCAATAAGCAGTCTTGCATTGTGCTGCTGAAAAATTGGAGGAACAAAGCTCCAAAGATGTGGTATAGACATGAACATGAAAAACCTCAGATATTTGGCCTAGGGATTAATGGGATGTGAACATAGTAATACCCCATATGATCATTCCAGTTGCATTCCATTTGGAGAGTATGATGCTGAAGAACACAAGCTTCCAACATTCATTATTTTTTTACTCGGATACTGCCATTATAATGTTGTTAGGAGGAGTAAGATTTGTCAGAAAGGAAAACTTAATGCCATGGATGTTTCCATGTGTATTATTGGAGACCACTGTAGACACACTACCCTAGATGCTGTAGCATCTAGGGTAGCTAAAAGCACTTGTCATCTTTCCATGGCATTGTAGTCAATGTTACATCATAGTACTGTGCAGCACACACAATTTTCTGGTCCCAGGTGGTACATCATATGTCTGTATGGACACTGTCAGCAATGCAGATAAGTAATTCATCAATTGCAAGTTCTCATAACAGTTATTGGACCTCAACCAACACGAGTAGCAGCTGTGGTGTACAATAATCCATAGTCCCGTAGGTTGTTTTTCTCTGGCAATTAAATTCTTAGTCCTGGTATGTGTTCCTTCTTCTTACACAAAGCATAGCGTAACCCCCAGTGCATAAATAACAAACATAATTTTCAAATCAAAAGTCAACCTTTCAATCTGTCTTTTATTATTTTGAAGTGTCATTACTCTGACCTTAACATGTACACTGCAAAAAAAAAAAAAAAAACACTGGGAGGGACAGTTCTATATCTCCTGTTCTACTGGACCGATTTACGAAATTCAACTTGCATTTTTCACGTCTTGAAAGCACGACTTAGGATATCTGTTAGATTTATATATAGCATTGTTTTAATAAAAGTATTTTGACACAAAATCGAACTTCTCCTGAAATGACTTGCCAATTTTTTTTTTCATATTTGATTCTACAACTCAAATTATGCCAAACTGCCAAGTTTTGTAAAAAATTGCACGAGTACTTTTTTAAAAATTAGGTCTCAAAATTTTAGCTTCTCGGTGGTAATTGAATTTGATATATATTTATTAATATCTCTTTTTTTATTAAACTTACTTGATTCTTTCTTTTAGAATTCAAAACTTAGGCTTAATCCAATATTTTTATAAATTTTTTGAAAAAATTTTTGTATTATAAGATATAAAATTTTTTTAATCTTAAAGTAAATGTATTTCTAAGCATATCTGCAAAAGAATTAGTGTCTTTTATTCAAAATTTGCTAAGATATGCGTGAATTTACATTTTGGCACGTTTTGAAATTTGCTGTATTTAATATAAGCCATAATAACGAAGATGTGGTTTACACACTTTGTTAAAATTATTTGAAAGAATGAATGATGGACGTTTTTTCTTCTCGTGCGTCAGTGAAAAAAAGGAAAGTAAGTAGGTTACTATAAATTAAGAATTCCACAAAGTGAAACTGAAAAAAATGCGCCAAGTTATATTTTTAAATTTCTCACCAAAAATTACAAAATTTAATGTCTAGGCATAATTTGAATAGTCATAGAATCGAAATATGGAAAAAATGTATATGTTGTTTCGGAAAAAGTCTTATTTTGTGTCAAAATACCTATGTTAGAATAATGCTACATACAGTGGTCGCCAAAATTGTGGACACTTCTGGAAATTTTTATGTTTTTGAACTTTGTATGCTTATAGAAAACGTTACATTTCACAAATGCAAACTTGTATATATCATTTTTAAAGAGAATTACTGAATTCAATACAAAACACAAAATTCAATTATTTGCAATACAAAAAAGTTAAAACAATAATAGTTATCGATTATACATTAGATAGTGATGATTGCAGTGAGTTATCAGTACTTAGTAGGGTACCCTTTATTTTTGATTACAGCTTCACATCGACGTTTCATTGAGCTGACAAGAGTTTTAAGCTCTTCTTTCGTTATTACATGATGCCAGGAAACAATTATAGCCTCAATTAGTTCCCTTTTATTTGATGGGCGTCTCATTCGGACAAGAGTTTTCAAAAGGTGCCACAAATTTTCGATAGGATTGAGGTCAGGACTTTTTCCTGGCCATGACAACAATTTAATGCTCTTTGTATGAAACCACTCTTTCGATATTTTGGCCGCGTGGCAAGGAGCAGAATCCTGCTGAAAAATAACAGAAGCATTGTTGGGAAAGAGATCTCTGATGGAAGGTAAAAGTTTCGGTTCTAGAATAGTGTCAATGTATTTTCTGGCATTCAGTGTCCCATTGATGACATGAAGGCGACCAGTACCATCTGCTGACATGCATGACCAAATCATAACACTAACTGGGTTCTTCACAGTTGCCTGAATGCAGTCAGAATGTAGCTCTTCTCCTATTCTACGTCTTACATATTTTCGTCCATCACTGCCGAATAACGATATCTTAGTTTCATCACTCCATATAACTTGTGACTACTGATCATCTGTCCAATTAATGTGTTCCTTTGCCCACTGTATTTTTTTTTTTTTTTTTTTTTTCGTTGCTGAAAATTAAGATAAGGCTTTTTTTCGTGGAATTCTACCTCTCAGCCAACATCTGTTAATCTTCTCCTGATTGTTCTTGAACTGACAGAAACACCAGCATCATTCATATCACTTCTGATGGCCGCTGATGACATTTTTCTATCTTGGAGACATAGTCTTTTTATTCTTCTGTCATTAATATTGCACCTTTTTCGGCCTTTTCCTTTGTTTTTTATTGAATTTGTCTCCTGATATCGTAAACAAAACTTTTGGACTCCAGATGTAGTCACTGAACCACCCACCTATCTTGCAATTTCAGCATAGGAAAGACCACTTTCTTGTAACACATTAATATTACATCTCTTTCTAGGTGTCCAATCTACTCTTTTATTAGATGTCATTGCTTCTTGACTAAATATTAAAAAATTTTACAAAAATTCCGACTTGTAATTGCAGTGTATAAGAAACAGGTCCACCTTCTACAGAGCAAAGCAAAATAATGAATTGTTAAGTGTAAACATGATGTCAGCTTCTACTGGCAGTTACTAACATTTAATTGGTTCTCAGAACAAGAACAGTGATTGGCCAGGAAAGCTAGACATTACAAACCACTTCATAACTGTGTTTTTTAATTTATATTAAAATACATATAACTTTTTTTGTATTGCAAATAATTGAATTTTGTGTTTTGTATTGAATTCAGTAATAAATTCTCTTTAAAATGATATATACAAGTTTGCATTTTGCGAAACATAACATTTTCTATAAGCATACACATAAAAATTTCCAAAAGTGTCCACAATTTTGGTCACCACTGTATAAATCTAATATATTATGTCTTAAGTTGCACTTTACGACATGAAAAATGCAATTTGAATTTCGTCAATCGGCCCAGTAAAATGGGAGGTACAGAACTGCCCCCCCCATAGTGTACATGTTTTGAAATGCTAATCCTATGCATATGCCAGTATAATTTATCTTCCATGTAAATTTCAGGTTTCTTGTGTACATCTTTTATGGTACAGCAACTTTAATGGCTAGCAATGTAATATAAATTCTCACTTAAGTGATGTAAAATGTGTAACTTTAGTAATGCCTAAAGTAGAGTGATGTTTAAAATTAGTATAATTGGAGCCAAAATTAAAGTTTAATAATAACATGAGAATAAATTGCAAAATAAAAAAATACCTATGGTTAGATTTACTGATATTAATAAAGCAAACAATCCAAAATCTTTGAGTATTGCAAGCATCTGCCAATACTCGCAATACTCACCTCAAAATTTTAATTATAGTAATGTATTAGTAAGATGAATCAAGTGAAGAAGGGTTTTTAATACTTTAGCAAAATTTGGGTTTTTGTTTTTAATTTCTTGCATTGCTTGTCTTTTCATTATCATTATCATTTACAGTTTTGCTTATTATTGAACATCTCTATTTTTCTGTTACTACATTTCCATTGGTATATATAAATTCTTCAAAATTAATCGGTCCACCTGGCATTTCATTCTTTATGTAAATTATTTGTTCGTCAGATTATTTTTCACGTTCTTTTCTGAAGGAGAGGAAATGCCTGCTTTATTGGAAAAATTATTAATATAAATTCAGATATAACTTTTATTTTTAAAGCCATACGTTATGTGTCTGAGTACAGAATTTTTAATTAGGGCAATTTTTATAAGTTTATCCATATATTTTCTTTATGCATGCATAGATTATGTATAAATACTTCTTTTTTTCAGGGTCTATATGCTG